CTGTAATTAAAAAAAATACGTATAAATAATACTTCTGTTTTGTGCACATACATTATATTACTTTGCTATCCTAGAAAAGTAAAATAATAAATTGAAAATTAGTTTAAACATAAATTATGAAAGACAGAAATATCACAATTTTCAAGTGACTTTTATCACACTTTAATAACTACCTTGTAAAATTATAATTTTCAAAGAAAAAATCAATTTTCAGGTCAAAATTATTAAATAGAAATTTTCCTTGAGTCACTGTGCATTTTGCAATAGAATTTATAAGAAATTAGTATGTTAATGAGGGAATCATAACTATACATCAATGGTAACATTTTTATATAGCTCCAAAAATCTCAATGCTATTGATGATTCTTCGCCTATTGTAACTTTAAGAAAACGCTTTTCTCTAAAACATTTAAAAAACAGAGAATGCAGAATTAAAAGACAAAATTAATAAAAATAACAGTAGGAAAGTTCAAGCTTGAGTCCCTTCAAAACATTAATTTCATGTTCCTTATCACCCAGTAATTTTTTTGTTATTAAAAATACCTTACTTGTTTCATGACTGTTTTCAGAGATAAAGATCAGTAAAATTATTAGTATTTTCATTTAAACTGATATACAAAATATAACTTCATAATGAGTGATTTATAAATAATTAATAATTTTAAAATTTTCAAGGGCTTGGGTTAGATGAAGCCTATTTACGAATTGTATTACTAAGCTGCATTATCTATATTTGTAAAATAATTAGTCTAATTATTCCCTTTTTTGGTTATCATAGCTACATTTTTAAGTTAGGGTTTACTACCATCTTATCAAATGGTACTACCATATTTTCAGAGAATACTGAAAAATTACTGCAGTGACATGAATACTTAATCCAATATGACCAATATAGATATCTTTATTTGTATTAAAACACACAAAAATCACCATATTTGACTTATTTAATCACAATAAAAAACTATTATAAGAAATATCAAATCAATATGACATTTCTACCATCCCTAAAATTAAAATATAGATACTAACATTTAAAATTATATTTTGGAAGCAAAATGATACATATAACAATGTTTTGTGTCTCATTGGGTAGGTCAGAACTTGTGATCATTGTGTCACTGACAAAGCACTGAAGTAATTGCTTTCCTTGTTCCAGACATTAAAATGGGCAGGCTAAAAAAAAATGTGCTAAAATTTGAGCAGGACATTTAGTTGTTTGAGAAATTCTATGAGGAATTTCATTAGCTAATTTTTAGCAAGTATCTCTAATGCCATCTTTAAAACACAGATTTGGATAAGAATATTTTAAAGAAATACAGCCATGAATTTTAGGCAATTTTGTTCTGGAATATAGCAGGCAGAGAAAGTATAAATGCAAATTCTAAACCAAGTCACTTCATAAATATTATGTATATATATTATATGCATACACACACACACACACACACCCCTCTCATTTTATTTCCATACAGACAATTTACAGTCATGAAATAATTTTAATTTTGTTTCATTACAATTTGTTTTTATAATCATTTCATTTTATGGCAAATAGTCTAGGTTTTCAAGAACTTAGAAATTTCAAGAAATAGTCTTAAGTTTTCTTAGGAATGTCAAATATATCCTTCTTATTCCCTGATTAAGTGCATTCAGTTTCAAGAAATAAACTGAAGTATTTTTATATTTGTTAATTTTGTTCACAGACTTCCCTTCTGTAGAAAATTATTTGTCTGAAAAGTTGTGTTACAATTAGAAAGTTAAATCATGATCGTATCCTATACCACTTACAAAAATGAATTACAATCATCTTCATTTTTATCCTGTGCACGTGAAATGCTGAGAAAATGCACTTTTAAGGATTTAAGTATCCGAATATTAAATATGATTGTATTTTATGAATAAGTAATTCTTTTTAAAAATGGTAACTTTTTTATAACAAAACATTATTGAAAACATTATGTACTGGCAAACTGCAGTGCTTTAACATATTTTTAAATGAAGAAAAATGTGTTAATTGATCAAGACCTTCAAAAGAGCTAGTCTTATAATATTTTAAATTATAATTAATTACTTTTGTTTTGTTCAATGTAATGGTTTCCTGCATGATAACCACCCAGAAGCAGAACAGCACAGAAAATATCAAGTATAGGCTGATATTCTAAAAGGTAATGAAATTTAATGAATAATTTTATAACAATCACTCTATGAAATGTGTGAAGATATTAATTTCTACTATATGGCACATTAGTCTCACACTATATATGTTTTTTCACATACTTTTTTTTTCTTTTTAATGCTAAAACTATTATGCAAGACAACTTGCACATGTGAGCATTACACTTGGATTATTAAACATGAGCTTGTCTTTTTTAAAAATCAGGAAAAAACCCTTTGATTATTTTTCCTTCTTTTCAATATCCAAAATTTTATGTATTTATTTTTTTGAGAGACAGAGTCTTGCTCTGTCACCCAGGCTGGAGTGTAGTGGGGAAACCTCGGCTCACTGCAACCTCCGCCTTCCAGGTTAAAGCCATTCTCCTGTCTCAGCTTCCCAAGTACCTGGAACTACAGGTGTCTGCCACCACGCCCAGATAATTTTTGTATTTTCAGTAGAGATGAGGTTGCACTATATGTTGGCCAGGCTGTTTTCGAACTCCTGACCATGGGTGATCCGCCCGCCTCGGCCTCCCAAAATGCTGGGATTACAAGCGTGAGCCGCTATACCCGGCCAATACTAAAAAGTTTTGAAATAAATAATATATAATTCAGAACTAGTGTTAACTTTTTATGACAGTAAACATCTTCCAAAAATATCCATATTTTTGAAAATTGAAGAGTTATATGACAATGTCTATCTTTTTATTAAGGCATTTTTATGTAGTTAATACTATCTTCTGTATTTTAGTATTTAACCATTTCAAAGAATCTTACATAAAAAAATCTGTCACCACAATCAGTGGTTAATCAAATATCGATGTGGCCCCAAATTTTGTTGGCAAGATTAAAGAACGGTGTGTTATGACTTAAAAGCAGACTCAATGTTTGCATATTAGTATTTATAATTTACAGCATTTTCTAACTTCAGACAATAATAGGCTATTCTATATAAAATTGCCAAATTAAAAAAAATGGAAACAAATATAAAAAAATTAAATTCAAAATTTAAATAAACGTACTTAATAGCTTACACAAGGCATTTATCATCCAATTTTTATTTTTGATGAAAGAGTGTGAGAATCTTCTTTGCCTTACACTGTCTTTTTTCTGAAGAATTAAAAAATATATCCATAACTATTTGCACACAATATTAATCTAATATGGGCAGAGATAGGAGCAGACTCTCTAAAAAGAAGTTGAGAAAAAAGAAAAATGAAATTCATTTAAATAATATTACAAGAAAAGTAGAGTTATATTTACATTTTAAGTGTCACAGCAGAGTTAAGAAAAAGTGAGACAGAAAAACATGGGGCCGGGCGCGGTGGCTGAAGCCTGTAATCCCAGCACTTTGGGAGGCCGAGGCGGGTGGATCACGAGGTCAAGAGATCGAGACCATCCTGGTCAACACGGTGAAACCCCGTCTCTACTAAAACTACAAAAAACTAGCTGGGCATGGTGGTGCGTGCCTGTAATCCCAGCTACTCAGGAGGCTGAGGCAGGAGAATTGCCTGAACCCAGGAGGCGGAGGTTGCGGTGAGCCGAGATCGCGCCATTGCACTCCAGCCTGGGTAACAAGAGCGAAACTCCGTCCCAAAAAGAAAGAAAAAAATAAAAACATGGAAGCTTCGAGATGGTGGACAACTGAATACTGGTGGGAAAAAACAGACGAGAAGCAAGAATAATTATGTAAGATAGATTTTCTCTTACTTCTTATAGGCATTTACCAAAGCAAATGTCTATACATTGTTAGTATTTACATTCCAACTGAAATGATAAATAGTAAATTCTAATAGTATACAAGGATTCATTTTCATTGGTGAAGTCTGTTAATGCGCTGGCTGACATAAATACACATATTCTTATTTCTAAAGAATTGAGATAAAAAACTGATCTTAAATGGCATACAAATTATTTACTATAACATGTATAAAACTAAATCAGATATGTTCTTGACAGCTACAAATCAGGTTTCCCTTCAGAGTTATGATTATATTTGCTGGCATCCACCTAATCCTTTATAAATGATTACTGAATGGCCCAAGCCCTGGAGATAAAGGATATGACATTGTTCATGCCTTTAAAGAGCTTATAGATAGTTGTAGAAAATGAGTGTCTATCAGTGCAGGAGTCTTAAGAGTGCTGGCAAAGTATATAAAGGCTATAAAGGAGACACAAAGTTTAACTGGACAAAGAAGGGATAGGTAAGAAAATCCTTGAGAGATGAAGATATTTCCCTAATGGTCTTTCACATGTGAAATATCAGTACACTATTTTTTCACAACCAAATATTTACATAAATTTGATCACTGTTATTTCTGTGTTGGACAGTTACTGTTTCAAATCTAAACTCATTTTAGCAGTGATGAACTGCTTAAATAATTTTATTTATTTATTTATTTGAGGGGGTTCTCCCTTTGCCATTCAGGCTGAAACACAGTAGCAGAACCACAGCTCAACATAGCCTTGAACTCCTGGGCTCAAGTGATCCACCTGGTTCAGCCTCCTGAGCAGCTGGGATTACAGGTGTGAGCCACTGCACCCAGCTTAATAATATTTCTTATAAAGTAAAAGAATTTTTACTTAAATCTTCCTTATTCTAGACTTACAACTTGTTATATCAAATAAATATGAGCTAAGATTAACAATATAATTACACTAATTACATTAGCATCAACTACTTTTCAGAAACAAAGTAATAAAATTACAATTTTTCTATTTGCAATTACAAAAGAACTTCTACAAGAATCCTATGAGTTTTAAAAATACCACATAAATAGGTTTTAATATTGACATGTTTCTAATTAAAAACAGACATTAAGATCAATTTACTCTTTCTGCAAATAAGA